GGGGGGGGGGGGGGGATCGTGGGGCATTGCGCCTTGTGTGGGTCTCATTTGCTCCTTTGTTTAGGTGTTTCCTAGGTCCTAGGGGGGTGGGGGGGCCTCGTGATTGGAACTTGGGTGTTGTGCATGACGCAGTTTCGTGCTTAGTCATTTAAGCTTCTAGAGAACATTGTAACAATTTATTGAAATTAAAAATACACCGTACAATGATATGCTAGTACAGCAATATACTAACAATCATATAATAGAAAGAATATCATCACATAGCAATATAAGGGTTAGGGATTCAGGGGAGTCTTTGCTTGCACCTCCCTGATGGTCCCCTTTCCTCGCATGTCCTGGTCCAGCCAGACCGGCAGGGGGGTTGTAGGTCGGAGCTTGCACCTTCAGATGTAGCCCCTAAACATCCCTAAGCCTAAAACCCTCAACCCTAACCCTACACCCTAAACCCCAAACCCCAAAAACTCTAAACGCTAAATCCAAAACCCTAAACCCCGAGCCCTAAACCCCAAAATCCTTAGCCCTGAAGCCCCAAGCTTATGTACTTAGTAGCTGAATGAGTTCACTTTACACTTTTGGGGAGACTATCATCCCCTATAGAACTGAAATTGTAACTTTTTTGGAGCTTCTGAACTCAGCAACTAAGTATAACCCTTGCAACCCTAAACCCTGAACCCTGAACCCTAAACCCTAAACCCCGAGCCCTACGCCCTGAAGCCCCAAACTTAAGCCCTTGCAGGCGGCGGCCTTGGGCGACGCCCTTGAGCGTGCCGAGGCCCCGCGGGGAATTCGAGGGTTTAGGGTTTAGGGTTCAGGGTTCAGGGTTCAGGGTTTAGGGTTTAGGGTTTAGGGTTGAGGAGATGGGTTTAGGGTATTTTGGGTATAGGGTTTGGTGAGTGGGTGTAGGATTAGGGGTCAGTGTTTGTTTTTTCCTTCGGATTTGTTTTAATGTTGGGCTCAGGGCCGGGGGGTGGGTGGTTCGGAGATTGGGATTCTGTAGGTTTGCGGGTTCAGGGTTTGTAGGTATGCATACATATATACATATATATATATATATCCATGTATAAGTAGATGTCGATTTTATTGTATGTGTTTTTTTTTTTTTTTGGGGGGGGGGGGGGTGGGGGTGGTGGTAGGTGTCAGGGTTGAGGGGTTGAGGAGAGGATCAAGTGTGGTTTCTTCCAGGTAATGTCCTCCAGTTGCAGGTACAGGTCGTATGCTGAAGACAGCACCGTGCAGCATGAGCCGGGGTTGCTTGGAGGTTCCGGGCACTTCGAACTCCAAGTCCAAGTAATAACTGTACTTATGAGTTCCCAAGTCCCATACGTCGGGTTAAACGTAGACCTGTCACCGGGGTTCTCAAGCTGGGAGGGCAGGATGGGGATGCGGAAGATTCGGGCAACCGATCCGAGGATTGGTTTCGGGCTTATAGGGCTGCTTAGGATTTAGGTTTTAGGGAGTTTAGGGTTTGTTCTTAGGGAGTTTCTCAGAAAATTCCGGCGGGTGACCTCCAGGGCTAAACCTCTCTTCCCACACCCTAAACCACCCCAAACGAAGCCCCCGCACTCCCTGCCCGCGGACTTGTTCCTGAAGGCCTTTAGGGTTTAGGGTTTAGGGTTTAGGGTTTAGGGTTTAGGGTGTCGGGTGTAGGGTTTAGGGTTTAGGGTTTAGGCCTGAACCCTGAACCTTGACCCGCAACAGGGCCAAGCACTGAGCCGTGTGGTGGCGAAGTGCGAGGAGATGCTCCTCAGTGTCTTCCTACTCTTTGCCCAAGAACCCCCCCCTCCCCCCCCCAAAAAAAAACTAAGAACAAGAAATAATCACAATAATAATAATAATATTCATAATAATAATAATAATAAAATCATCCCTAAGACGCTAAGGGTTGAGGGTTTAGGGTATTGTGCCCTTATAAGGAAGTGTTTTTTTTTTTTTTTTGGGGGGGGGGGGGGGTTCTTAGGCAGTTCTGGTCGTTGGGCTTAGGGTTTTGGTGGGGGCTATAAGGCCCAGGAGTTGCCCCGAGTCCCTCAGCATCCCTAAGCCCGAAACCCTACTACCTGGGTTTTGGAGTAGTTTAGGGTTTAGGGCTTAGGGCTTAGGGTTTAGGGTTTTGGGTTTTGGGTTTTGGGTTTTGGAGTACTCTACTTGTGTGCTCGTTTTGGTTCTGGGTTCCCACTATACCTACTTATACCTAGAAAGTGTATACTTTTTTTTCCAGGGTCTGCTCCGAAGTAGGCCTACACACTGAGAAGGGCTTAGTATGGGCAAAAGGGTTTGGCTGTAGGGTTTTTTGTTGGGGGGAAAGGGCTTTTGGGAGGAGTAAATGCTGGAGGTCCTCTTCGTCGCACGCAACACCCTGGAGGTTGAACCCTGAGGCACTTAAGCTTAGTAGCCGAGTAGGTGACCTTTAACCTTTTGGGGTATATATATATATATGATCCCACCACAATTGAAAGCTTGACATTTTTGCCCCAGGGTCCTCAGCAACTAGGTAAGACTCTAAGCGCTACCACAAAGCGCTAAATCCGCAAGTCCCCCCTTCAAAAAATGCACCTCGCACAGGAAAACCCAAGCACTACACCAAAAAACCCGAGCACGCCCGAGAAGCTTAACCCTGCTTGGGTCATGCGGAGTGTTGTGGGGCTAGAGACCTCATGCTTTCGGTTGTTGGGGTTTAGGGTTTAGGGTTTCTGGTTTCGAGTGCTCGGGGCATCTGACGTAGTACGACAATGCAATGACACTGTCCTTGGACTGGCCTTGTAAAAGCCTCGGTAGGCCTTGGGACATTTTGTATTTCCCCTGCTTGGGTTCAAGAGCATCATATTCAGCAAATTTTTCACAAGGTTTCAAGAGCCATCCCAGAAACTCTACACCCGAAGCCCTGCAAACAAGCGCTTGAGATTCTAAACCCTAAGCCCTAAACCCGAACCCTAAACCCGAAACCCCAAACCCTAAACCCTAAGCCCTCAGGACTCCGATCTCGCGGCGGAGCTCCAGCAGTCGCGGCGGAAGCTTGCAGACATGACGCGGGAGGCCCGCGACACTTCCAGGGCATCCCGGTTTAGGGTTTAGGGTTTGGGGTTTAGGGTTCAGGGTTTAGGGGCTTAGGGTTTAGGGTTCAGGCTCTTCTTTTTCTTCTCCATCCATACCAACTGCTTGGGATGTTCCCTCTTGATTATATACTCACAGTCCTTAGTAGGGATTCCAGTAGCCCCTATCAAAATCCCTATTAAGGACTGTCGGTATAAGGGGGAACATCCCAACCTACAGTAAACTCCAGAAAGTTGGAACATGGTTTAAGGATGATTAGAGCTGGGATTCCCTTTAGTATACCCTTTGGGGTATAAGAGGATAGGGGTGTTCCAACTTTTTGGAGGTTACTGTATACTAACTACTTGCAAGGATCAGTCGTGCTTCGGGGTGCTGAGCAGCGCCCTGGATTTGGTGTGCCACGGTACGCCTTCTGACTTTTGAGGGACTAAAGGAGGGACCCTTACAAGGGACCCTAGGGGCTTCTTGGGGGTTATGTAAGGGCTACTTCAGTGCATAGCGGCTATGTAAGGATATGTATATGTACATATACATATGTATACATACATACATGCATGCATACATACATATATATATATAGATAAATAAATACATAAATATATATATATATATATATATATATATATAGATATAAATATATAGATATATGTATATATACATATTTAAATAATAGGGGTTGACTTGACTGTTTTGGTTTGGGCAGAGGGCGCCGTGGGTATCCTGAGAAAGGACAGCCTTTTGTTCGTTCGCGTCCTGACTAAAGACACCACTTTCCGCGGACTGTGCTTTCTTTGTATGTGGGGAGCAGAAGAAGATGATATGTTCTATGTTTAGGGTTTAGGGTTTATAGGGTTTAGGGATAGACTTGGCAACCTTGGGTGGGTTGTGTCCGTCTCGACTAATTACATCAAGTGCCTTGGGGTGCTTTGCTCAGGCTTATGTTCTTTCTTGACAGGCTCGTACCCCCCTAAACCCTAAACCCTAGACCCTAAACCGAAGATTCTTGAGAAGATTCTTTAGGGGTGTTTTTCGAAAAGAGGGAACCAACCCAAAGGCCCCAAACCCAAACCCCCAAGCCCAAAACCCTAAGTCTCCAAGAGCTCTTATATAAGGGTTTTTGTGCCCAGACGCCTTATTATCTAAGGTTTTTGGGGCTATTTTGGGCTGAAGGGTATAAAGCACAAACCCTAAACCCGATCAACCCTGAAAACCCAAAAGCCCTGAAAGCCCTCAAACCCCAAAGCCCCCAACCCTAAAACCCTAAACCCTAAACACTAAACCCTAAACCCTAAACCAATTCAAACCCGGAGGCCGCGGCCCAGAAAGCTGAGCTCCAGCAGACGACGGACCGAGATTCAGCCGAAGCATTTTTGGGGGGCTTGGGGGGTTTAACATTCAATGTTTTGGGGGTGTAGGGTCTAAACCCTAAACCCTAAACCCTCAACCCTAAACCCTAAACCCTAAACCCCAAACCCTAAACCCTAAACCCCAAAAACCTAAACCCTAAACCCCAAACCCTAAACCCTGAAGCAAGCAAATGCACAAAGACTTCCCGCAGGAGGGCGACTCCGAGGCGGCCGCGGAGATCGCAGCCGCCGTTGCGGCGCTGGCCGAGCTGGGGCCTCACAAGAGCTGCGAAGTCGACTTAGGGTTTAGGGTTTGGGGTTTCGGGTTTAGGGTTTTAGGGTTTGGGGTTTAGGGTTTAGGGTTTGGGTGGGTTTTAGGGCAGAGTTTAGATTGTTTTTTTTTTTTTTTGGGGGGGAGGGGGGTTAGGTGTGTTTTGAGGTCTTTGAGAGTTTAGGGCTTTTGGAGCTTCAGGTCTTTTTTAGGTTTAGGGTTTATACGGTTTACAGGGTTTTCGGGTTTAGGGTTGATAGGGCTCATAGGGTTTAGGGGTTGAAGGGGGTTTAGAGGGCTCCTTTTTAGGCGGGCTTGATTTGGAGCAGGCGCCTGCAGGGCCACCGCCACCACCGAAGACTCCACCTTTGACGGGTTTAGGTGTTAGGGTCTAGGGTTTAGGGTTTAGGGATTAGGACGAGCATCTTTCTTGCTGGATATTCGACACCGGCTGGCATGCTGCTGGGCTTTGTCGTACCAGCTACCCATGTCAGGTCGATGCACCCGGGTCCAGCTGGCACCAGCTCCTTGGGCCTGTGGTTCGCGCCTCTAGGGTTTAGGGTTTAGGGTTTGGTTTAGGGTTTAGGGTTTAGGGTTTAGGGTTTAGGGTTTAGGGTATAGGGTTTAGGGTTTAGGGTTTAGGGTTCCCCACCATGGTCAACATGTCCTCCCCGGCCTTCGCACGACGCGTGGCTTATTATTCCTCCGCCGCGAAACAGTCCTGCCAGTTGCAGGTCATCGACCAGGCAGTCGCAAGCCCCAGGCCCTAAAGCCTAAACCCCACACCCACATCCTCTCTTCACCGCCTTGGCTTCTATGGAGCTACCGAGTTTTCGGGCTCAAGTTAATCGGGTCGAGGGTGCAGGGCTTGGAGGGCTTCAGGCTCATGGGGTTGTAGGGATTAGAGCTTAACTTTGTCAGGGTTTAGGGCTTTGGGCTGTAGTTATCAGGGCTCTAGAGTTTCAGGTTATAAAGGGTTATAGGGGCGTAGGGTTTAGGGGAATTTTGGTTCAGAGCCCTAGAGTTTGTAAGGGGATTCAGGGTTTAGGGTTTAGGGTGAGTTGGGTTGCAGTTACAAGATGTGGGGTGTAGGGCTTGAGGGTTTAGTGCGTCCAGGCATCAGTGCCTCTGAGATTGAACGCTTATAGGGCTTGGGGACCTTGAAGGGCTTTAAGGAGCTGTACGGGCTGTAGGAGCTAGGGTTCAGGGTTTAGGGTTGTTGTTTTTGTTCCTTGTGTTTCCTGAAATTTCGGGTTGAGGGTTTGGGGTTTCGGGAAATGAGGGCCTGCGCTCCCCAGAACTTCCAGATGAAGGGTTTAGGGTTTAGGGTTTAGGGATACCAAATCCCCTTAAGCCCCAAGCCCCACGCCCGAAGAGGTCGCGCGCGGATGTGGAGGCGGCAGCAGCCCAGGAATGGCGGGCTGCAGCGCGGCGCCCGGAATTCCCTGCATTGGCTCCCTTAAGGGTTTAGGGTTTACTGTAGGGGTCGGGATGCGTACTGCTATTCCCTCATGGTCCCCATATAATTCTAACGATGAGAACCCCCAAAACCCTGTTTTAATCATTAAGGCCCCTATATGAGGGGGTTTGGGTTTTGGCTTAAGGGTCTTCATTCAGGACCGAGGGTTTTGAGGTGTTTGTGCTTGTAGGCTCATGCGGTGGGTGCAATGAGGGTGTAGGACTTCGGGTTTCCTAAGCGTCTAAGGATGCTTTTGGGACCAGCCTGTTCTAGATTGCCTAGAAGAATCCCCTAAACCCTAAACCCTAAACCCTAAACCCTAAACCCTAAACCCTAAACCCTAAACCCTAAACCCTAAACCCTAAACCCTAAACCCTAAACCCTAAGCCCTAAGCCCTAAGCCCTAAGCCCTAAGCCCTAAGCCCTAAGCCCTAAGCCCTAAGCCCTAAGCCCTAAGCCCTAAGCCCTAAGCCCTAAGCCCTAAGCCCTAAGCCCTAAGCCCTAAACCCTAAACCCTAAACCCGCCCGCCACCCCTCTCACCTCTGTTGGGTAGGCGGGCGCAGTCCAGCGCTCAGCGAGACCATGGCAGGCTCTGCTTGAGCTGCAGAGCCTGCCCACCGCACCCCTGAGGGGTCGCCAGGCTTGGTCGTCAGGCACTGTCACAGATATATATTGTATTACCCTAAACTCCAGGGGGGGGGATCCTTTTTCAATTCCGTGGCCCTGGCCCTGGCTGGCCCTGGCCCTGGCCCTGGAGCTGGCTGGCCTGGTCGCCCTGGCCGGCGTGGGGTTGGGAGCTAAGAACAGACCACGAATTGAAAGCAAACTCAAAAGGCAAAGCCCTGCAATTTTTTCTCTGTGATGGCCCTTGGGCGCAGACCGTCCCCTGCGCGTACCTCGCGACACCCGTTCCCAAAACTAGACCAGCTCACACCCTGAAATTTTCTATGATAGGGCCCTTCGGCCCAGACCGTCCCCTGCGCAAGACCTCACGACCCCGGTCCGCCCGGTCCTTCACCTGTAAAAAACGTTCTCGGCTCCCCTGGGAGATTTTCTGGAGCCCCTGGGACCGTTCTGGCCTAGTTGGAAGGCTGCCAAAAGGGGCCCTGGAGCTCACAGGAGGTCCGACCCCTTGCTTTTCGTTTTCTGGCCAGGTGAGCTTCGGCGTTGCAAAACCCGGAGACCTCTTAACGCCCTGGAATTTTCTATGAGAGGGCCCTTCGGCCCAGACCGTCCCCTGCGCAAAACCTGAGGGGGGGGTTCCTTTGCCTTCTGCCCCCAAATGACCTCCGCAGTCAAGGGACACCCTTGGCACCCCCTCAAAGTCGCAAATGTCCCAAGCTTCGGCGTGGGGGGAGATTCTTGCAAAACCCGAAAACTCTTCACCCAATGGAATGTTCTATGAGAGGGCGCTTCGGCCCAGACCGTTTCCTGCGCAAAACCTGAGGGGGGGTTCCTTTGCCTTCTGCCCCCAAGTGACCTCCGCAGTCAAGGGACACCCTTGGCACCCCTCAAAGTCGCAAATGTCCCAAGCAATGCTCGACATGGTGCCTTCTGGCCTCCCAAGCATTCGCATTGTTTTATCTTAGTGTCCTCTGAACATATTCGATATGTGAAATTTGAATGGCTGGCTTGGTCTTGGGCTGGCTTCGGTTTGGTTCGCAGTGAGTAGTGTTTGGGTGGCCTTGGGGTGGGCATATCTTCATACTATTGCGTTCAGCTGACCAATGCTACACCCTAAACCCTAAACCCTAAACCCTGATGCCGTGCTCGGCCAAAATATCGCCATCCCTGCAGCCAGCAGGAGGCCTTCGACAGACTTGCCGACCTGTCCAAGGAGCTGGAGCATGCTTCTAGACCATGTTAGGGTTTAGGGTTTAGGGTTTAGGGTTTAGGGTTTAGGGTTTAGGGTTTAGGGTTTAGGGTTTAGGGTTTAGGGTTTAGGGTTTAGGGTTTAGGGTTTAGTAAGGGTTTAGGGTTTAGGGTTGAGGGTTGAGGGTTTTTACCGGCTGGTTCTTGGTAAGGAACGAGGGAATGAGGTACCCTATATGATCTTTTACCGGGTATGCACAGGGGCCAACTTCCCTCATTCCCTGCTGAGAACCAGGTTCTGTTTTTTTTGGTGCTGCTTCTATCAGGCAGGCTTGGTATGTCCCCTTATACTAAGAGTCCTGAGTCGGCGGGTACCAGGGTCCCTATGAAGGGACTGTTAGTATAAGGGGGAGAACATCCCAAAACAAGACCGTCATACCAGTAAAGGAAGTTCCCAGAACGGCTGCGGGGGGGGGGGAGGGGGGGGGGCAAGACCCCAAGCTTCCCTGGTTCTCAGTAGGGAATTGGGACATTGAGGTACCCAACGGAACCCCTTAAAGGGCATAACATAGGGGGATGTAGGGTACCTCATTCCCTCATTCCCTACTAAGAACCAGCCAGTGAGAACCCAACCCTAAACCCTAAACCCTAAACCCTAAACCCTAAACCCTAAACCCTAAACCCTAACCTAAACCCTAAACCCTAAACCCTAAACCCTAAACCCTAAACCCTAAACCCTAAACCCTAAACCCTAAACCCTAAACCCTAAACCCTAAACCCTAAACCTAAACATCCCAAAGCCCAAAAACAACCAGGGTGGAAGGCTCGGTCGAAGGTCAACTCTTAGGGTAGGGACATGGCCCCCTTACTATGGGGGGACCCCTTACATACTTTAGGGTTTAGGGTTTAGGGCCCATACTTCAGAACCCTGTAAAGGAGGTAGGGACCATATTAAGGGCCCATGTAACTCCCGGTCTCTCTCTTCCCCTCCCTTTTTCCTCGTTCTCTTTCCTGCCAAACTTGTTGGTTTCAACCCCTCGCCCGCGCGCGCGCGCGAAGCTCCCTGATGCCTCGAGGGTATTGGGTTTGGGTTCAAGCGTCGAGGGCTCCCCGGCTTTAGGGCGAAGGGTTCAGGGTTTAGGGTTTAGGGTTCCTTCAAAGGCTTCTTAAGTACGGGGCCCTTGGGTTATAAAGGGGTAGATAAGGGATCGCCTTGAGGGACGTACGGTTTTGCTGCGTAGGAGTTTAGTTTAGGGTTTAGGGTTTGGGGTTTAGGGTTTAGGGTTATAGTTTAGGATTTAGGGTTCGAGTCCTTGCAGTTTGGGGCTCTGGTTCCTTGGCTCAGGAACCTAGCCCCGAAACCCTAAACATTAACCCCCTCAGCCCTAAACCGTGAACTTAAGCCTAAAACCTCCTAAACTCTCAACCCTAAATCCTGAACACTAAACTCCCCTAAACCCTACAACCCTATAACCCCAAAACCCTATAACCCTAAGCCCCGCACCCTGAACCCTGTAACCCTGAACCCTAAACCGTGTAACCCCGTAACCCTGTAACCCTTAACCCTCAACGTTAAAACGCTAGTTTAGGGATGTCTACCCTAACCCTAAACCCTAAACCCTAAACAACCAACAACCCTAAGCAACCCTAAACCCTAAACCCTAAACCCTAAACCCTAAACCCTAAACCCTAAACCGGCTCATTGGCCCGAAGGTCAAAGCCGTGGCGGCAGCTGACCGGAGTCGCCACAACGAGGTGGTCCAACTCGCTTCGTTAGTTAGGGTTTAGGGTTTAGGGTTTAGGGTTTAGGGTTTAGGGTTTAGGGTTTAGGGTTTAGGGTTTAGGGTTCAGGGTTCAGGGTTCAGGGTTTAGGGTTTAGGTTTTAGGGTTTAGGGTTTAGGGTTTAGGGTTTAGTGGATCTGCGTAGTTCTCTAAACCAGGGTCCCTTTTAAGGTCCTTATGCTGGGGGCCGTAGGTTTGTGCTTTAGCATGTGAGTGCAGTGCCGCAGTGCCACAGTGTCACAGCGCGACAGCTTTGTGCAGTCGTCCTGGTCGCAAACCCTAAACCCTAAACCCTAAACCCTAAACCCTAAACCCTAAACCCTAAACCCTAAATCCTAAACCCTAAACCCTAAACCCTAAACCCTGGGCAGAAATGGCTGCAGAAGGGAATGGCACAGTTGGAGACCAAGCTTACAGCCGGTCCCCGGGTCATCCCCGCCGCCGCCAGACGACGTTGGTTGGAAAGCGTTTCTATAGGGTTTAGGGTTTAGGGTTTAGGGTTTAGGGTTTTGGGTTTAGGGTTTATATGTCACGACTAAGTTGGCTAGATTCCTAAATAGCCAACTAAATAGCCACTGTGAGGGTTTCGGTGCAATGAGTATAGGCACTAGTCATTAGCTAGACTCTATGCACTCCTAGTCCGATACACCTATATAGGGACCCCACAGGGACATTGATTTAGGGAACTGCCATCCGCTGGGGCGTTGTAGGGTTTTTTGCGGTTTCCGGGTTCTAGGGTTTAGGGTTTAGGGTTCCCTAAACCCGAAACCCTAAGCCCTAAACCCTGGGTATTTCGTAGGGATTCAGCGCTGGGGGTGTGGGTGTTCAATGGGCTTGGGGATTCAGAGGCTTAGCTTGGATGTCGGGGGTGAGGCCAGTCATGCTCAAGGTTTAGGGCTAGGGTTGAAGGCCAAAACGCTCAGGGTTTGAGGGTTTGGAAACACGTTTAGGGTTTAGGGTTGGCCACCACAACAAAAGCTTCGGAGTTTTCGGCTTCGGCTTTAGGTTTTAGGGTTTAGAGTTTCGGGTTTTAGAGTTTCGGGTTTAGGGTTTGTTGCAGGACACTTGAGGTTTTTTTGCGGACGCACGGTCGCGCGGTTTGGGAGCTCAACTTTCTTATCCTTTGCAGAGGAAGGTCTTCTCTGGCTGTAGGGCCCTAAACCCTAAGCCTTAAACCCTAAACCCCTAGCCCTAAACCCTAAACCCTAAGGGTTCCGAGTCCCTGTGGTAAAGGCCTCTCCGAAAGCCCATCCCGAACCTTCGACTTAGAATGTGTTTTTAAACATTTCTATGGGTCCTATTTCCGCATATTTTTGCTGGTAAACCCAACTTGAGTTCCGAATTGCCGACTATGTTGGGGAGGGGGGGTCAGGGTTGAGGGTTTCGGGTTTAGGGTTTAGGGTTTAGGGTTTAGGGTTTAGGGTTGAGGGCTTGCCGACTACGTTGGGAGGTTGAGGGTTGTCGAAATGTTAGAGCCCGCGAGGTTGTTGGGCCTGGGCTTGCACGCCCGAGATCCCTAAACCCTGCACCCTAAACCGTCAAATCCCGAAGCCTTAAACAGCCAAAACCCCCAAGCCCCTAAGCCCGAAACCCCCAACCCTAAACCTTCTAAACCCTAAACCCTAAACCCTAAACCCCCAACCCTAAACCTTCTAAACCCTAAACCCCAAGTCCAGATCTCGCAGCACGAAATCGCTCAGAGGCTCTTGCTGCGGCAGGCGCCGACGCAGAGCGCCACCCCCGGGCTGGGCTAAGGGTTTAGGGTTTAGGGGTTTGGGGTTTAGGGTTTAGGGTTTAGTAGTCCAGGGTTTAGGGCTTAGAGTTTAGGGTTCAAGGCTCAGGGTAGTTCTAAGCCGGGTCAGAAAGTGCTTTGAATAGGGTTCCAAGTAGAGTTAACCCTAATATCAGCCATACTTCTACATACCCATGAAGGGTTGCTCAGCCAGCAATAGAGGGAGACTCTTATATCATGGAGCACTTTGAGGTTCATGGGTACTTGTAACCCTGAACATAACTGTGCTTATAAGCCCCCTAAAGTCCCCTAAGAAGGTTATACGCAGACTGATAATTGGGGCTATAAGTACCTATGAACCCATGAACCCTCCAAGTAGCAGCAGTGACAGTGCCTTTTGGCATCGTAATAGACGACCAAGAAATCGAGGCCGGCTTGAGATGACCTGCACGAGAACTGCAGGGTTTAAGGTTTAGGGTTTAGGGGTTAGGGGTTAGGGGTTAGGGTTCCACTACCAGCCACAGATCGCTGACAGTGTCATTGCGAACGGGAGGTAATGTTGGTATCTCATCCAGAAGATCACCATGCACGGGGACCCAAACGACAAAGCAAGTGTCCTTGACTCAGAGGAGGCCCATAGCCACCCCCAACAGAACGGCTACGGATCGCGCACCCCTGGAACCGTTTTCTCGAGCATTTCGTCTCCGTGGCAGCACAGGGTGCGACTGCTTCACCAAGTCAACAACCTAAACCCTGAACCCTAAACCCAGAACCCTAAATCCTAAAACCTGAGCCCTGCATGAACCTTAACCCTTTGGCCACGCCATCCCAAGAGAGCATGCGTTCGCAAGATACCACTACTTGGATGCTCACGGGAAGTTCTCTTCATGAGCAGTTTAGGGTTTAGGAACAGGGTTCAAGGCATCGGTAGCCTTAGAGATCAATCCTAAGACGCAGGGGCCCCTACCCGTCGGTGCCCTTTAGAGGGCCTTGTCCGACCTTGGTTTTGGGGTTTAGAGTTCAGGGTTTAGGTTTTAGAGTTTCGAGTTTAGGTCGAGGGGGGGGGGGGGGGGGGGGCATCCCAGGTACTACCATACTGGGGGCCGTCTCGGGCATTGTAGGCCTAAAGCCTGGGCGAGTTTTAAGTTGAAGGCGGGGAGCTGACAACTGGGAACCCTGAACCCTAGATTCATGTCTCATCGGCGCCCCAAGACCCACAATCTCGAGAACTTGGAACTGTTCTATATGGCAAAGGCCTAAACCCTAGGGCCCTAAACCCAAACCCTAAACCCTAGAAACCCTGAACCCTAAACCCTGAACCGTAAACCCTAACCCTAAACCCTAAAGCCTAAAGCCTAAACCCAAAACCCTAAACCCTAAACCCTAAACCCCAAGCCCTAAGCCCTAAGCCCAGGCGCAGGCTGGCGGCCGCCGATCGCCATAGCACGGCCTTGGCTGGGCAACTGCAGAGCGCCGTGGCCGCGAGGTCGGGCTGAGGGAGATGAAGGGAAAGGGGGGTTTAGGGTTTAGGGTTTAGGCTTTAGGCTTTAGGCTTTAGGGAAAGTGGGAAGAGGGCTTGGGGGGCTTTTGGGGTTTAGGGTGCAGGGCGTTGGCCCGAAACCCAAAACCAGAAACCCTAAACCCTAACCCCCCCTAACACAAGGGTTCAGGGTTTTGGAGGGGGATACCTAGGGGGGGAGCGCACAGCCATATAGCCCCTTTGGGGTTTGGTTGTTTTTGGTTCTTTGCGGTTTAAGGTTTAGGGTTCTGTCGGAGACTGGCCGGAGAAATGGGGAAGAGGGTTTTAGGGTTTGAGGGCTTCAGGGGTTTCAGGGCTTTGGGAGTGTTAGGGTTTAGGGAAAGGGGAAGAGGGCTTGGGGGGCTTTTGGGGTTTAGGGTGCAGGGCGTTGGCCCGAAACCCAAAACCAGAAACCCTAAACCCTAACCCCCCCTAACACAAGGGTTCAGGGTTTTGGAGGGGGATACCTAGGGGGGGAGGGCACAGCCATATAGCCCCTTTGGGGTTTGGTTGTTTTTGGTTCTTTGCGGTTTAAGGTTTAGGGTTCTGTCGGAGACTGGCCGGAGAAATGGGGAAGAGGGTTTTAGGGTTTGAGGGCTTCAGGGGTTTCAGGGCTTTGGGAGTGTTAGGGTTTAGGGAAAGGGGAAGAGGGCTTGGGGGGCTTTTGGGGTTTAGGGTGCAGGGCGTTGGCCCGAAACCCAAAACCAGAAACCCTAAACCCTAACCCCCCCTAACACAAGGGTTCAGGGTTTTGGAGGGGGATACCTGGGGGGGAGGGGGCGCACAGCCATATAGCCCCTTTGGGGTTTGGTTGTTTTTTTGGTTCTTTGCGGTTTACGGTTTAGGGTTCTGTCGGAGACTGGCCGGAGAAATGGGGAAGAGGGTTTTAGGGTTTGAGGGCTTCAGGGGTTTCAGGGCTTTGGGAGTGTTAGGGTTTTTGGATTTGGGGGTTCCGGGGTGGGTGTTGGATTTGTTTTGTTTGGGGGTTGTCGGGTTTTCGGGTTTTGGGGTTTCTGGTTTAAGGTTTTGGGGCTGTAGGTGTTTAGGGCTTTTGGGCTTTAGGGGCCTTTGGGGTTTGAGGGTTTTAGGGTTTTGAGGATTTGGGCGTTTGAGGTTTTTGTGCTTGAATTGGATTTGGGGTTTTGCGCTTTAGGGTTTTAGAGGCTTGGGGCTCTATAGAGGTGTAGGGTTTTTCGGCTTTAGGAGTTTTGAGGTGCTAGGGTTGTGGGGTTTGGGGTTTGGGGCCTTCAGGGTTCAGGAATTTAGGGGTTTCAGGGGCGAGGATTTTAGGGTTTAGGGTTGTAGGGCTTTAGGGTATTGAGGGTTTGGGGTTTTTAGGGTTTTAGGTTTTGCTGGGTTCAGGGTGTTAGAAGGGTGTAGCCCTGGCGTCGAATGGTTTGGATTTAGTGCTGAGGGTTTGAGGTTTTTGGATTCACACAGGGCGGAGGATTTATGAAAGTTTAGATGCCTGTCTCACTCGCGCCCCCATCCTTGCTCACAAAAGCCCTTTGGAGACCCGTAGGCCCCATAATCTCTAAAAGCCCTGCAAACCCTGGGCCCTATAATCCACCACATTCCCGATCCTCCCCTATGCACAATCACTGCATCCCTACAATCCCTACAATCCCTATAGAGCCAACCCGAAACCCTAAACCCTAAACCGTATTCCTATACTTCCTAAACCCTAAACCCGGAACTGATAATCCCCATACCCACTCCAGACAAGCCTAACCCCTAGACCCTCTAACCCCCAACCCCAAGCCCTCATCCCGAAAGCTAAACCCTACTCCCTAAGACCCTAAAACCCAAAAGCCTGAACCCTAAACCCTAAACCTTAACCCTAAAAGCCTAAACCCTAAAACCTTAAACCCTAACACCCTAAAACCCCAAACCCCTAAGCTTGCCTAAAACCCTAAACCCTACAACCCCAAAACCCCAAAACCCTAAAAACCTAAAACCCTAAGCCCTAAACCCTACACCCTAGCCCTAAACCCTTAGCCCTAAACCCCTAAACCCTAAATCCTAAACCCTATAGCCTGTAAATCCCTCAACTCGCCCAGTGCCAGGGATGCGGCCGAGGGCCGCCTGGCACTGGCCGAGGCGCAGGTCGCCGCGCCGGCCGCGAGGTTCATCTGATTGAATTTTGGGTTTGGGGTTTAGGGTTCAGGGTTCAGGGTTCAGGGTTCAGGGTTCAGGGTTCAGGGTTCAGGGTTCAGGGTTGCGGGTTTAGGGTTTAGGGTTTAATACTTGTAGGATTTTAGGATTTGGGGTTCAGGGGTTAGGATTTAGGATTTAGGGTCCGCCGACCCCGGGCGCCGTGTCCCTCACAGGGGGGGGGGGGTTAGGGAGGGGTGTCACCAGCCGGCCTACCGCCTAACCCTAGACCCAAAACCCTAAACCCTGAACCCTAAACCCAAAATCCTAAACCCTAACCCCTAAACCCTAAACTTCAAAGCCTAGACCATGTCAATCTCGCCTGATCGAGTCGCAGGTGCTCGGAGGATGACAGGCTGGAGGCGAAGCTTGCAGATGCTGCGCCTTGACTGAAAGGAGGGTTTCTACCCTAAACCCTAGCCCTAAACCCTAAACCCTGTACCCTAAACCCTAAACCCCTAAACCCCTAAACCCTAAACCCTCAACCCTAAACCCTACAGGGGCTAGGGCTGAAGTACCCCCTAAACGCTAAACCTTAAACTCTAAACCCTAAACCCTAAACCCAAAACCCTTAGAGTTTGAGAAGCTCTGGGGTTGGGTCGATCTGGGATTTGGGGAAGCTGAGGACTTGGGGCTGAGCTCAGGGCTTTGGTTTAGGGTTTAGGGTTTAGGGTTTAGGGTTTAGGGTTCAGGGTTCAGGGTTCAGGGCTTAGGGTTTAGGGTTTAGGGTTCGGAACCCTAAACCCTAGACCCTGGGGTTGGAAAGGTTTGGGCTCGAAGCATCCCAATGCTGTAGGGTTGTGGATTCATAGGTTTGGGGTTTATATAGGGTCTGTTTAAGGTTTAGGGTTTAGGGTTTAGGGTTTCGGGTTTAGGGTTTAGGGTTTGGGGTTTCTCAATGGCCCTAAGCCTTCGGCCCTGAGCCCAAGCCCGAAACCAGCCAACGTCTGAGCCAGATCCTGGCCAACATGATTCGCATTTAGGTGGGTCAACCCCTAGAAATCCATGTGTAGGGCTTAGGGTTTTGGGTTTAGGGTTTATGGTTTAGGGTTTAGGGCATATGATTACTTGGGCCTTGAAGGGGGTTCCAACTATGGATATGCCTTCATGCAGAGTGCACCAGTGCCACTCATGAGGGGCACGAAGAACTGCCCACGCGGTCTCTTCACAGAATGTTCCGCTTTGACGGACTATGCGCCTGAAGGAGGAGGCGGATGGGCTCTGGGAAGGGTGCGGCTTGGAGCACCCTTACCAGAGGAGAAGGAGAACGCAGGTGGGGCGAGCCCAAGCTCAAGTTCCTCCCCCTCGGAGAACCGGTCGGTGGTGGTGCAGGGCATGCCTTCTCGCGTCGCTGCCGGCCCCTTCGGGGGCATGACCACCAGCAACTCATTTAGGGTTTTTCGCAGCCGGTGCTCTTATGGTGAGTTTCCAAGCCCTCATCCCTAAACCTAAACCCCAAAACCCTAAAACCCTAAACCCTAAACCCCTGACACAGTAATCCTAAACCCCCAAACCCTAAACCCTAAGCCCGAAGCCCTAAGCCCTACTTCATATCACCCAAAACCCTACACCCTTTTTGGTATTGGTGAGTGTTTGTCTTGGGTGTCCTGTTGGGGATGGAAGATTAACCCTACTTCATAACCATAAACCCGAAACCCTAAACCCGAAACCCTAAGCCCTAAGCCCTAAGCCCTAAACCCTAAGCCCTGGCTAGACGTCACATTGCCAGCCTTTTTTCCGAGCACGCTGTGCAGGTTTCCGCTCGCGACAGGGCCTCCCTCGAGCTGGCTGATGTTGCTCGGCTGGGTTGGTAGGTTTAGGGTTTAGGGTTTAGGGTTTAGGGTTTAGGTTTTAGGGTTTAGGGTTTACGGTTTAGGGTTAGTATCCAAAACCCTGAACCCCGAAACCTTTGTGAGCCCTAAACCGTACTGTAACATCTCTCAGCTCCCAACACCAACGAAAGCCCTCTCAACCCGTAAGGCCCGCAAGAAGACCACTTTTTCCGAAATCCAAAACCCAAAACCCTAAACCTTAAAGACCCCTTATGAACTCCAGCAGCTTTTTTCAAGGGCAGGGGTTCTTTGGGGGTTCTTTCGGGGATACTTATATACTTAGGTATATAGGGACTACACAAGGTATGGGGAATAAGATTAAGGGCCCCGTCTTTGGGGTCCCTCCTTCTACCCCTAATATTTTAGGGTTTAGGGTTTAGGGTTTAGGGTTTAGGGTTTAGGGTTTAGGGTTTAGGCTACTCGGTGGTTCTTCCTGACCTCGGTGATGGAAAGCTGCGGCCCTTGGGATCTGTTTTTGACTTTGCTTTCTTTGGTGTGCGAAAAGTTTTGCCATGCTCCCTCGGAGACTCAAGAGGATCTTATTCAGCGTGTCATGAGCCATATAGCTCTAAACCGCAAGCCCCAAACTCTAAACCCCAAACCCCAAACCCTAAACCCTAAACCCCAAACCCTACACCCTAAACCCTAAACCCTAAACCCTCAACCCTAACCCCTAAACCCTAAACCCTAAACCCCAACCCCTAAACCCTAAACCCCAAAACCCCGCAAGCAGTCGAAGCCCCTGACATGCGCAGGCTCGGGCACAGCTGGGGTCCCTGCGCCGAGAGGCGCAAGAGGAGGCCACGGTTTAGGGCTTAGGGTTTAGGGTTTATAAGGTTTAGGGTTTAGGGTTTAGGGTTTCGGGTGTAGGGTTTAGGGTTTAGGGTTTAGCGGTTCATGAAAGTTACTGGATGGTCTATGCGCTGGAGTTCAAGGAGCCGACGTCATCCCGGCCTTTTCTGAGCCCTTGTGACCTGCAACCAGGGCCCTCAGGGTTTCTGTTCGATTTAGGGTTTAGGGTTTAGGGTTTTAGGGTTTTAGGGTTTAGGGTTTAGGGTTAGGGTTTAGGGTTCTGGCGCGCCTAAGGTCCAGGGCTAGCCTAGGCGTCGCAACTGCGTACTTGGAGGTTCATTTCATGGGTAAGTATACAAGTAGGGTTATAAGCAGATAGCTATAGTTCTATCCTCATGTTAGGGCCCTTCTAACCCGACCTAAACCTACCCATGAACCTACAAGGCCAAAGCCAAAAACCCTAAACCCTAAACCCTATAACCTATAAACCCTAAACCCTAAACCCTAAACCCTAAACCCCCAGCCATGGGCAAGTCTCGGCCAGTGCGTGTGGTGTTCTTGGATGTGGACGGCGTAGTGAACTCTGCAGCTGAAGTGGCCGCAGGACCGGATTCTTGGCGCGTTTAGGGTTTAGGGTTTAGGGTTTAGGGTTTAGGGTTTAGGGTTTAGGGTTTAGGGTTTAGGGTTTAGGGTTTAGGAACTCAGCAACTAAGGATTACATTCCCGTTCTAACTGGCGGCCTGTGGCTTGAAAGGAACCTCCTGCTGAGATTTCGCGACTTGCTACACTATGGCCAGGCCCATGTTGTGATCTCTTCGAGTTGGCGGCGGGAAGCTGCCGCGGTCAAGGCATTGCGCGAGGCATGCGCGGACATAGGTCTCTAGGTTGGCTTTTGGGAAGTTTTTTTGTTTTCCTTACTCGGGTGTCTAAGAGGGTATTACAGATTTTCCATGTATTGAGTTTATGAGATTTCATCACATTTTCCTTGTTGGGGTTTATAAGGGACCCTACATATATATATATATAAGGGACCCTACATATATATATATATATGTATATACTTCTGAAAGGGTTTATACTGGCCAACCTAGGTGTTGCATCGTGGCGCTTCATAGGTCAGACTCCCGAGATGAGGGCCGCATCGAAGACAGCTGCAGGGAGGCGCTTGGCAGCTCGGCAGGCCCTGACGCCCTCGGGACGTGTTTTTTTTTTTTTTTTCTGTTTTCCCTTGTTGGCTTTAAAGAGGCTCATATTTAGGAAGATGTGTTTATGTCCCTTCTTGGGTTCAAGAGGCTCATATTTAGGAAGATTTTGTTTGTTTTCCCTTATGGGGTCTAAAGAGGCTCATATTTAGGAAGCTTAGTTTTTTTTTCCCTTGTTGGGTTTCAGATGCTCATGTTTAGGAAGCTTAGTTTATTTTCCCTTATTGGGTTTCAGAGGCTTATATTTACTGGAAGATTTTTAGGGTGCCTTTAAGGGCCATCCTAGGCAGAGATCCTCCACTGGCTTGCGTGGCAGCGCTTGCGGCTTGGCGTGCAGCAGTGGGTGGCACTGGACGACATGGATCTGGCTCCTTGGGGACGAAATAAAACCCCAAAATTGGGGTCCGATACCCTATCACCATATTTCCGACTAAGGCAATATGAGCCAGATCACTATGATTCCTATTAAGGGTAATATGAGCCAAAAGCCCTTTTAGGGTTCACATCGTCCCCAAGGCTTCCTGCTGCCCTCCTCACCTGCAGCCGCACCTGGTTCCTTAGTAGCTGAGTGAGTACACTTTACACTTTTTGGGATACTATCATCCCCTATAGAACTGAAAGTGTACAGCTTTTTTGGGGCCTGTGACCTCAGCAACTAAGGTTCGGACAGACTTTCGTACGGGTCTCCAGCCAGCGCAGGTCGGGGAGGCGCTTGCGGTTCTGGGATGTGCCCAGAGCTTATGACCCTTGGTAGCCCAGTGGTACCCGTTACCCTTTTTTTGGGTTCTGGGCTCCCTTATAAAGTAACCAACCCCAAAAAAGGGTGCCCTTGTTGTAATAATGGTTACTGGGCTGCTAAGGCCCCCATGTGCCGAGAGCACCAAGACAACGCAAAGGTATTGTTCTGGACGTCGATGGTACTCTCATCGACTCGCTGAATGTGTGTCGCCCTTGGGGGTCGTCTCCCGCCTTCGCAGAGCCGACGCATATACATGAGGAGCACATTGCCGTATTTGCGCGCCCAAACTTGCCTAAGTTCTTGGATTTCTGCTTCGAGCGCTTTGCTGGGGTTGGGATTTGGACAGCATCCGACGCCAGCTGGTGCGAGATGGCTGTTGCGGAGGTGCTGTCCCGGCATCGCGACTGGTGCTTCTGCTGGTCCCAGCAGCACTGCAGCGAGCACTCGCGCGACCGCGACGGAACCGAACTCCCCCCGACTTGCAAGCGACTCCGGAAAGTGTCTAGGATGCCCAGTAGTACCCTTATTCCCTTTTTTGGGGGGTTTAGGTTCCCTTATAAAACCCCTCTAAGCAAAAAAGGGCACCCTTTTTAAGCCTAGGTTACTGGGCAGCCTAGGTGTGGAAGTCTGGAACAAGGCGGTGCCGAGGCTTCTGCCGGGAGTCCACGATCATGGTGGAGGACACCGCCAGCAACTGCTACTTCAACCGAGGCAATGCTGCGACTTGGTAGCCCTTTACCTTTTGGTTGGGGTTATGGATTCCCTTACAAGGTCGCCAACCCCCAAATTGCCCCAAAAAAGGGTGCCCTCATCGTAGTATGTTTGCTGGACCGTAAACCCTAAACCCTAAACCCTAAGCCCTAAACCTTGTTCTAATATGCTTATTGGGCTACCAAGGTGATTGTGCCCACCTTCGATGCCTCCGACGGCTCCGCTGCGGCCGACGATGCGCTTCTCAAACTGATGCAGCACCTTGGGGGCCAAAGGAACCCCAAAGGTTAGGGTTTAGGGTTTAGGGTTTGGGGTTTGGGGTTTAGGGTTTAAGGTTTGGGGTTTAGGGTTTAGGGTCGGGACCATAGTCAGGTAGAATATGAACCATAAACACTTCTAGGGCTCATGTTAATTCCTAGTAAGCTAGAATAGTTAGGGCCCATCTCGTCCCCGAGGTACCTGGAGGCTGAGGTCCTCCCTGCATCCGATGTGCGCCGACGACAGCCGTGGTCTGGGCTCCTGGAGAGCTGAACGTTACAACGATCAGATTCCCTGTGTGCCTTAGAGGTCTTCGCTGTACGCCGATGCCCGTGGTACAGACGCAGGACGAAAGATAAATATGTTCAAGCAAATTGTGTGTCTGTATACATATATATATATGTATGTGAGCGTATACATACAATAAGAGCAGAAGTAGATATCTGTATGAAAACATGGAGCTTGGATATATCTCTATATATATATACACATAGTATATAGACATAAACATACATATATATATATATGTTACATATGTATAGATGGTGGACCCGAGTTTTGGATGCGTGGTGGGCTCAGCCCGTCCTATGGTCCCACTTGGACTTCGCAAGCAGTTTTAGCCTCAAAGGTGTGTCCAGTGTACAGCCTCTGTACAGAAGTGGGAAACGTGCAAGTCGGCGGCATACCCTTAGCTTTAAGCCCTAAACCCCACATATAGATGAAGCCTGAAGCTTAGTAATAACTGCCAACCCAGCAGCCACAGAATCTGGGAGCGCCTGACTGAGGAGATCTTGGGGTACTTTTAAAAGGTACCTGTGGGACGGACTGGGCAAGGCTAACTAGGGTTTATGTCCTTAGGTTGGGATGTTCCCCCTTATACTAATTGTCCTTAATGGGGTTAAGGACTGTTGGTATAGGGGGGGAACATCCCAATCCTTAGGCCTTCGGCTTCTGACTGGGCCTTGACCCTGACCCTGAAAGCCAAGTGACGTGAATGTAGGGTTTAGGGTGTAGGGTTTAGGGTTTCGGGAGGCTTCTGTAGCCCGAAACCCTCAAACGAAACCCACCTCAAAGTTCACCCTTAAAATTGTTTAGGGTTTAAGGTTTTGGGGGTTTTAGGGTTTAGGGTTCCCAAACCCCAAAGCCTAAAGCAACCTAAAATTTGTAAACGGGGGGCTTACACTTCGGATCCCGCAGCCGAAAGCAACCTAAAGCTGTAAACAGGGACCGCTTAGGATCCCTGAGCTTTCTTCAATCCTTCAAGAGCCCGGTGAGATCAAGTCAGCCCTTGGGTCGTTTTATGATGATCCCTTGTTATGATTTAAGGGTGATCATACTCAGGAATGTTTTTTTTTTTCAGAGGGCTTCTACTAATTGCTGAAGAATCCCCCCCCAAGATATATAATAATGATGATAAATAAAAGGATAAGAACAAGCATCCTCCTTCAAATAGTTTTGGGGTTCGAGGTCCCTTCTACAGGAACCAACCCCCAAAAAGGGTGCCTGGATTAAAAAATGGTTATTAGGGTACCAAGGTTTTGAGGGCCATCTCAGTGTAGAGAAAGCACGAGATGGGAAGGCCTCCGCCAAGCGAAGCGCCGAAGAGCGCCTCACGCAGGCTTGGGCATCAGGGTTACCCTAAACCCTAAACCCTAAACCCTAAACCCTAAACCCTAAACCCTAAACCCTGAATTCAGGTTTGGGGCTGCAGGGTTTGGGATTTGGAGACCGAGGATGTGGGGGGACTTACATAGAGACCTAGGGCTTCCCGGAGCAATCCTCCAAAACCCCAAAACCCCGATTTTCGTTGACAGGCATTCGCTTTCATTCTGGCTGCCGCTGGCCAAAGGCATCGACAACGGCAGCTGAATGTGTGGTGGACCAGCTTTTGCCCGCGGGCCTGGCCACGACGATCAGCCTCCATGTGGGGCAGGGCGATGAAGGTGCCAAGTGCAAGTTGGACGGGTCAGCTCGGACCAAACAAGCTGGGCCCAGCTCTCACCCAGCCTCAGATTACATTGCAAGGTGAACAGAGGCAAGGGCGGGTGGCAATCCGCAGAGTCAGAGGCCAACGCCAGCCTGCTGTGGTGGCTTCAAGGGTCCCATGGGTGCACAGGGACGCTTGGTCTGGGTTACCCAAAACCCTAAACCCTACACCCTAAACCCTAAACCCTAAACAGCGTCGGCTCGAGGGTTGCCCTCTGTCTAAGGTAAGGCGAAGTTGGACATCGGTATTCTGGCTGAGAACCAGGGTTGAGGAGTTACCCAAAACCCTATAAGCCCTACATCCCTCCTGAATCCCCAAATCACAAGTCCCTAAATCCCCAACCCCTAAACCCCAAAGCCTGCACCCTAAACCCCAAACCCTAAACCCTAAACCTTACGAGTTAGTAGCCCGAAGCCCTAGAACCCGCCGAGTTGGGACACAGCGCCTGAGATGGGAGATTCCCACACTTGGGGTCTCCTTGTACCCTAAAATGTAGGTTTCCATAGCATGCACAATCCATTAAATAGGGTAGGATAAGAAACGTTATAGCAGCTAGCCTTGGTTGCAAAGGCACTGGCAGTATTCTTCCGATTCGGTTCAATTCTTAACGCAAAGAAGTTAAAAAAAGATAAAGAGGATTGGTGGGTTTAGGGTGTAGGGCTTAGGTTTTAGGGTCTAATTAGGGCTTAATTCGGGCTTATAGACTGTACAGGGTTGAAGGGGCTTATTGTGGGGTTTAGAGGGTTTATAAGGTTTATAGGGTTTATGGGGTTTATAGGGTTTAGGGATTAAAGAGTTTATAGGGTTTAGGTTAAGGGGTTTTGGGTTTATAGGGTTTAAAGGGTTGAAAGGGTTGAAGGGGTTTAAAGGGTTGAAAGGGTTTAAAGGGTTTAAAGGGTTTATAGGGTTTGCAGGGTTTATAGGGTTTGCAGGGTTTAGGTTTATGAGGTTTATAAGGTTTATAGGGTTTATAGGATTTTTAGGGTTTTTAGGGGTAGGGCCCCTGCATGTCAAGAAGAAGTGCGCAAGAAGGCCGAGGCCGCGAGCCGCGCGCTGGGCGCCAAGGCGGCGGCCGCCGCGACGTCCAAAGCCGACGCCGAGGCGCGGCTTTCGTGTTGGGGGGGGGGGGGGGGGGGGGGGGGGGGGGGGGGGGTTTGGGGCCCTAAACCCTGAACCCTATAAACCCTATAAAAACCCTATAAACCCTATAAACCCTGTAAACCCCATAAACCCCATAAGCCCTATAAGCCCTATAAGCCCTATAAACCCTAAAGCCCCTCGATGCCTGCGACTGCTGGATTCAGGCGGTTTGCGGGAGAGTTTGGTCGTGTCCATGTTTGTTCTGGTTTCGAGGCTGTGGGGGTTCTCTCAGGGCCTTTCGGAATCTTGCAGGTGCAAGTTCGGTGCTAAGCCCACTGCTCAACATCACACACCCTCGGCCCCGAATCGGCATCAATTCTTGAATATTTGATTTGGGTCTTGGTTCCTTGAGCTTCTTGGAGAATAGGTGAGGGCCCTTAGCCAGCCTAGCAAAAGACACTAGATTTGTTCAAGCTCTTGAGGTGGACTAGGGTGAAGGTCAACGCCGGGTGTGGATGCTTTTGTACAAGCAAAGGGCAGCTTATTGTATGGTTACATCCCGGAACCCTAAACCGAAAAAACAGTTAAAAGACTAAGCCCCCAAACCGAAACCCTTATCCCTCGACCCTAAACCCTAAACCCCTAAACCCCTAAACCCCTAAACCCCTAAACCCCTAAACCCCTAAACCCCTAAACCCCTAAACCCCTAAACCCCTAAACCCCTAAACCCCACCATCGCCGGCGAAGGCGCACGCCACCGAGTTGGACGAGGTGCCTGCTCCGATTGCTTTACCTTTATTGACTTCAAGCACAGGGTTTTTACTGGATTTGTCCATCTAGGGGTTCTCTGATACGGGGTCCCTAAACCCTAAACCGTAAACCCTAAACCCTAAACCCTAAACCCTAAACTCCAAACCCTAAGCCCTAAGCCCCATTGGGGACCTATGAGAATATAACCCAAAGAAGGACGATGTTCGAGATGCAGCGCAATGCTTTTGCGAGGAGATGTTTCCGAATTCAGCGCTCCAAGCCCTAAACCCTAAACCCTTAACCCTAAACCATTAACCCTAGACCCCAAACCCAGGGTGTTGTTTTCTGACGTAGCTCCCACACGATGCAACGAGCAGGTTGTTGCCAACAAAAGCCCGAGGTTTCGACGTTTCCCTGACCTGCTTCTGTGCAAGAACCTTATTCAGCCAATAAATGAACTTGAAATTCTGGCTTTTCCGACTTAGCAGGAATCATGTGAAACTGTTTTTTTTCATGCTTTGTGATTGGAGCAGGAACTGCGTGGTAGCTGGTTGCCATTTTTTGCACAAGGTTCCAGTCTATAGAGTGACCAACCCCACCAGAGGTTACTTAAGGATTTGTTTCGAGGCACCTTCGCCTGGTGCCCCCGCCCACCCTCCAAGCCCCCCCCGGCCCCCGGCCCCCGGCCCCCCCGCCCCCCCCCTGGCTTAGAGCCTGTAGCGTTAGGTAGGGCTTGTTTTGGTATTTCCAAGGTTTAGAGTTTGGGGTTGAGGGGAGTTTTCAGGTGTGAGGGGATCAAACGCCTTTTTATTCAAGGATGCCCTTTCGGGTTGGGGCCCTTTAGAGAGTTTCTTATGTTGCTGGGTACTGAACACCAGAAGCAGTAAGCCCCAAATCAACCCTATTCTTACGCCGTACACCCCAAACTCTCAGCCCTTATCCCTAAACCCCAAGGCCTCAACCCCAAGCCCTAAACCCTAAACCAACGCTTTACTCTAAACCCTAAACCCTAAACCCTAAACCCTAAACCCTAAGCCCCCCCTTTTGCCATGCGCTCTCAAAGCCACAGGAGCGCCAGGACCTGCAGCGGCAGCTACATCGCGAGGGCCGCCGGCGCAGCTCGCTGTCACTGCGGCTCGAGGAGGCCTCCGTGGTTTAGGGTTTAGGGTTTAGGGTTTAGGGCTTACTTGGAGGTCACTTTTTTACCCCTAAAGGGCCTTACAGGGGTTATCCCACTTATGAGTAGGGTTATAAGTACAGTTATAATTGGTTAGTAAGTACCATGAACCTTCAAGTACCTAGTAGTGTCTTTTGTACCTTGAAAGAAGGGCAGAGGTGAGCAGACCCAAAAGCGTACAGCGCGGGCTTGCAAGCTTCCAGGGCTTAATCCCTAAACCCTATAAGCCTTAAATCCGAAATCCCCAAACTCGTATCCTTCAATCCCTAAACCCTACAA